GCACCGGACTGGCACTGCCCGATTCACACTCAGGGTCCCGGGGTGTTCTCCCCACAAGCAGGAGCACACGCAGCACCCAGGGTTCAGCATGCCAACACTTGCCTCTAGCTAGACTTTTATGTGCRTCCCCGCAAAACGTTTTTATCCAGACCCGATGTGACAGCTCCAGTCACCCTCAGACAGGAAGGGTTCGGAGAGCTGTAGGTCTGCTCAGAGCTGAGCCTTTCCTAGAGCAACCCAAACCCTGCAGCTGCACCCTCATCTTCTTACAGCATCCAGTCTGAACTACAGAATGATGCTCTCTCGACTGATCCTCGAGTACATGCAAATGCTTGAAAGAACAGTCCTAAGACACAGAATCTTAAGTATGATCATATATGATACATATATAGTATGCTCATGTATTGTATTAGATACGATCACCCCTCCCTTCAGCATTATCCCAGAACTCAAGACACCCCCTCCATCCCTAAAAAAAAAAAAAAATCAGGATTTACATAGTAGTGTTTGAGACCTCTCTTTTGAAGTTATCATGCACAGAGCCATTTACTCCTGATCTTCCCGAACCAGGTAACTGAGACTTGGGAAATACTTAAAATACTTTTTGCTATTTCTTTTATTTCCCTCTAGGGAGAAAAAAAACCCCTTACTGGAGATAGGGAATTATAACTTTCTAATACAAGCAGATGATAAGTTGTTAAAAATGCCACAGATTATTAACCAATTGCCTTAAATTTCTTTGTGTGACCTTGTTCACAGTGTCCTACAAAGGAGCAGCAATTGACTTGTGTAATCTTTTTTCCATTTTCAGCATCAAACTTCACCCACTACTGAAATGAACCCTTCCGCAGTGCTGATACAGAAATAAACTCAATTACGGAGGCTAAATTAAGATAAATTCTTAACAGTTCAGGCCAGATGAGATACCCTGGCCACAGCTCAACAGATTCCATGATTCTGCTTATCCCTGAGCAGTTTTCTTAGGGATTCAGGCTGAGCACTGATTGGGAGACTGGTCCCTTGTCAGACTTCAACCTTATTCATACCTTCCTTCCCAAGTGGCACCACTGCTTGTCCAGCACACCTGACTCCTCACTCAGTATTTTCATGCAGACCAGTCCTCGATGCCTGTGAGAGCCACCCTCTGCAAAGCGTGCATCTAGAGCATGCAAAGGTGGCATACAAATAGAAACAACATATATAACCAAAACACAGACAGCTTACAAGCTGTAAGAAAACAAGCTTAGCCCTTCACTATTTCCTCAGAGACTGCTAACACAGAAATCGAGCACTACTTGCAAGTAAACTACCTACCCGGAGCTCACACRTCTTTAAACGCTAGAGGCATAATAAGCAACCATTTAATAATTGCCCGTGACTCAGAGCACTGAATAAGAGATGCATTTTAAACAAGTGTCAGGACAACTTTCCAGCGGCGCTGCAGCCCCCCCCGCACCTCCGCGGGCTCCCTCGCAGCCCCGCTCGCTGCTCGGTGCGGCTTTTGTTAAGTTGTTGACGGCGAGGAGCGGCTATAAATAGTGCGGCACAGCCGCCCCGGCCCAGCCACCCCGAGTTACCGCGCTCAAGTTCACACAAGGGCGCCAGACACCCCCGGCCCGGCGGGGGCGCCCGGGAAGGGCGGCGGGGCCGCCGCTGCCTCCCTTTGTCTCCCGCAGGTGAGCGGGCGCCGCTCGCACACGGCAGCGCGGGCGGCCCTGCCCCGCCACCCCCGGCAGCGCGGCCCGCGGCAGCGCCCAGGTGCGGAGCTGCCTCCCGGCACCGCCGCCTCGGCGCTCCCGGCGCCACCCGCGGAACGGAGCCGGAGCCGGAGCCGCCACCGGGGGCAGCGCGGGGCGGCGCCGCCCGGACCCCCCGGCGGGCGCGGGGAGCGCTCCGTGAGGCGCCCCGGGAGAGGGCGGGAAGGAGGGCGGGAGGGCGGCGCCGGGGGGCTGCGGCCGCCGTGTGCCGGCCCGGGAGCGGGGGAGCCCCCCGGGGCCACCCAGCCCTGCCCGAAGGTCCCGGCGGCGGCGCCCCTCCCCACCCTCGCCCTCCCGTCCCGTCCCGTCCCCGGCGGGCCGAGGGCCGCGGCACGGACACCCACCTGCCGGGCCGGGCCCCGCTCCGGCTGTGGCGGCTCCCACTGCGCTCCCGCCGCGGCCCCGGCGAGTGTCGGCTCCGGGCACGGCGGCGTCACCGCCCCGCGGGTCACGTGCTGGGGCGGGCCCGGGCGGGGGTGGGGCGGGGGCGGTGCCCGGGACAGCCCGGCCCCCGTGAGGAATTGGGGATCGCACCGGACAGCCCGGGACAGCCCGGCCCCGGTGAGGAATTGGGGATCACACCGGACCGCCCGGCCCCCGTGAGGAATTGGGGATCACACCGGCCCCCGGTGAGGAATTGGGGATCACACCGGACAGCCCGGCCCCCGTGAGGAATTGGGGATCACACCGGACAGCCCGGCCCCCGGTGAGAAACTGGGGATCACACCGGCCCCCGGTGAGGATTTGGGGATCGCAGCGGCCGCTCCCGCCGTGCTGCTGTCCATCTCACCGCGGGCTGCCACAGTGCTCCGGTGCGGCTGCTGGAGCCGTGCCATCACCTTCGAATGGACGTGGTCGTGTGAAATACCCCTTTCTGTCCCTGATGAAACCAGCATAGGGAAAACCCACACACCTGCCTCCCTGCAARCAGGGGTCTGTCTGACTCATCAATGCACGATACCTGAACAAACCATGCTTTTTAAACAGTTGCCCAAAGACAAACAACAAGAAATAGTCCTTGTCATTTATCCCGAGTTAGCTTGCTTGGTATCTCCTACTATATTTAAAATAGTTTTCAAAGTTGTCTGAAAATATTTGGATGGCCTTCATAGCATTTTCGAACTATAAGTAGTTCTATCTTTCTCTTTGAAAAAGTGATATCTGGTTCTCTTGGTTRCAAAGATAACCTTGAAAGCATGAAATGACTGTAACTGATGCAGTGGTATCTGAATGAATCTGCAAACAGCCTGAAACAATGGCACAGAGATGTGTGAACTGTCTGCACTCTATTAATYTAATGAAGGTTAACGCTGGTCTAACTTCTTTGATTATTTTAACACACGGAAGAAGGAAGGAGACAGTAAAATCATCAAAAGGTGGAAAGAACAGGTTTGCTGAGGGAAGTTAAAGCAGTGGGAAAAGACCTGAGAAGTGCCAGCAAGAGAGAGAAACAGTCTTTAACTGAGGAAAATATAAAAATATAAAAACATCAATAGGTATAATAGAATATGTGGGCATATTTTCATACTGAATTGCAGTTCTTCTTGAACTTTCAATATTGATGTTTACTTGAAATCTTGTATGTATTATGCAACAAACATGCAAGACAGGTAGAGAACACTGGATATGCCTTCAAGCTTTTTCTTCACTATCCTGAATACTTGTAAGAATGTTCTCTTGACACCAAGAATCACTTGACTTTGGCTGTCTGTTCACAAAATATGATTATTAAAATTCTGTTATGGTGTTGTAAGGCTGATACCCCTGTCACACCCACTCATTCAGCAATTATTCACAGAGTCTGGAAATACAGAGTAGACACCAGAATTTCTATGTATGCCCATTATTTATCATTCATAGGCAAAAGAAATTTATAAAAGGACCGTAGTTTTTCATTCATACTTACTCTTCTGTAAATTACATGTTCATGAAAATAATATAGAGTAATTCTTGGATGTTTCTGTCTAGGAGGATTCTATCTGTATATAGATTATATTTATATCTGTATATAAATCCTCCAGGTTTTTGGCAAAAAGTAATATACTTGGGACACTTGGRTATTTCTGAACAAGCTGACTGCATTTTACCTGCTGACATGCCTGAGGTAYATATAAAAGCATCTCAAAAATCAGTCATAGTAACCACATTGTAATTATCCTTCCTCAGTGCCAAGGCTTCACTAGAATGCTGCAGGATATGGCATTAGTGATTCAGTCTGAGGCACTCTTGCCTCTGAGTCAGTGCTGAACCAATGGTCCTACATAAGATCAACAGGCATAATAGAGCTGAAGGTGCCAGAAGATATGTAATTTTGAGTCCCTGCCCAAGTGCAGTCATGAAAGATTCCACATTACAGATAAACTGTCCAGCCCAAGTTCCAATTTTAGTATCTGTTGCGTATTCTGCCAATGAAGGATTTCTCTGTCATTTCACTGGAGCAGAAGGAGCTAAAGTTCACAACCTTTACTTGCCRTGACTTGTTTTTCCCAGAGATGTAGGAATGCCACCATACTCACAGCTCAGATGGGACTATATGTTTTAGTTAGCTGAAAACATCCAGTACATGAATTGACCTCACGAATCTCAAATGGAAAGAACTGCCAGCTGTAATTGCTTTACGTAGTACATGTGAGCTATGGTAGAAACTACAGGACTCAATTCATGTATYTGATGTGTTCTGACTGTTCTGTAGCATTCCTTGCACACAACATCAACCTCTTTCTTTGTAAAGTGATTCCTCAGGAAACGTCAGTGTTTGAACTCTCTGTCTATTCTATTACGCCAAACTTTCAAAACCTTTGTCCGAATTTAACTGTGTTTGCCAAAAGGGAGTTCCCTTAAAGGTAGTTCAGCTCCCACAAGGTCTGTGAAAGCAGTCAGCCATATAGAGGTGGAGAAGAATGCATGCAAGAAAGCAATATTATAAATGCTGCAATTGTGGAGAAAAAGATTATAGTTACAATCTATGATAAAATACAAATCCATAAAAAAAAGCTTTATAATTCTGAAAATCCCATCTTGTAAAAATCCATTTCTGATGTTTGAATTAGACATAGTTGCTTTCTCTCCTTAGATTCAAAATTCTCAAGTACTAGGGTTATATGTATAAAAAGCTGAGCCTATTAATTTTGAAGGGCAAATTCCCATTTTACTTTTTWTTTTCTATTTTTTTCCCTTCTGAGTCTATTTCAAATCTCTGCAAGTTCAGCTGTCCATTATTTTATGCCTCAGCCACAGTAATTCTAGATGTGTGTCGTGTTTTAATTAATTAGAAATGCGTATCTGAGAGTGGCTGCTGCCATCCTGTTACTCATAGTGCCAGAACCCGGTGTTAGGTAACCAGCAGAAATGTGCTGCTGAAAACGTGATTGGTATTAAATCTGGGTTGTTTATTCATTGTTTGCCACCCCTCCTTACCAAACATAATCTCATTATGAACTGTGTTGATTCTTTCTTTCGGAAATGACCAAGAAGGCAAATACAAAAAGCTTTGTCACATCTAACAGGCCAGACACTGCAAATATTCACCTTGCTCATTCTCCTGTTTCCTCGAGTTTTCAYTCCTTTTTAGAGACATTTTCTTTGTTTGGTCCTATAACCTCAGCAGTGATATGCTCTAGAGAAACCATTCTGATTTTAGACAAATGCACCTATTTCATCAAAGAGTTTTTATATAAATAGACTATATTTTTTTTACTTCTAATACTACTTACAAATTTATTTCATAAAATGATTCAACTTACCTGATATAAAACACATTACCTGGGCATCTGTGTACTSTGCTCCTACTCTCAGTTTTTTGACAGCTTCCAGCCTCTTACCTCTATCTAAAAATACTCTTACCACCTACACATAGACATACAATCAATTCCTTCTTTCTGTTCTTTCTCTATACTACAAAAGCACTTTTTCACAAAGTACAGATGCTGTGGGCTTTTTGCATGAACTTGTCAATTTACCCCCMATCTCCTGACTCAACTAATAGATGAGCCATTTTTATTTATGTAACTGTGCATTACAACGAAAATCAATTGGCGAGGGAAYGACTAAAGTAAAGAATATAGAAAAGAACCCAGATTTCTCACGAGTTCAGTAAAGAACTTCTTTCAGCATGACACTACAAAGGAATTTTCTGCCTTAAGGAGGAACTTTTATCCACAGTTCAGAGAACATTRTTTGTTTTACTGTGAAAAATCAGCAAGGAATTTGTGAAATTTTTCTATTTTGCCAGCAGATTATTTTTACAAATCGCATTAGGTGGAGTGGGCAGTGGCCAACACATGCTCTTTTACTTTTCTCTGTTCATTAGCCACATTGCCATTGTCATCTTCAATATCCGCATCTCTCTCTGAGCATCCAGTGGAAGCTGTAACAAGGATTCAAACATGCCTATTGTTTGTATTTGCAGTCTCAGCTTGCAAGTAAAGGACATTTTTTTGCAACTATCTGATTGTCAGCCTTACTAAAGAACAGAGTGAGATTTGTTTTGGTCAAACTGATCCTTGATTCTGCTCTTGCCAAGACCCAGCTCCCTACTTACCTGTGAAGTTGAACTGTTTATCGCTTTTCTCTTCTTGAGCACAGTATTCCAAACTGTATCACTTCTGTGTGGAGCACGAAAATATACCTCTGAGTCAGAGCACAGAATTATAAGTGGAGAAAAGTAATGAATAATTTTCTGACTGAATAGCTGAAGCTTACAGTGGGTGAAGGCAGACATTTCTTTGTTCTACCTTGACCTAAGACCTTTGCCTAAGCTAATTCTTAGTCATCTCTGCATATCTAGTCATGTCTTGATCTCACCATGGTTTRAGCTAACAGGCAATTAATCCTTTAAGTAGTAATATCTAATTTAATAAACCTATAATGAAAAATGCTCGTATTCAAAAAGCACAATGTAAATGTCCATTTATACCTTAGAGAATTAAAAATAGCCCTGCAGCAGTATCTTTAACTTCTAAGTACCACATATGTTGTCTAATGAAAAGGAAAGGGTTGTGTTTATCAACCACTCATAAGCAGAATTGAAATAAAGGTAGCTTTGCAAAAAGCATTAAATAAAACATTGTGTGCTAAATGTTTTATTTACGCTGAAGTTCTTTTTATTATGCTGCACCAAATTCAGTCTTAGAGAAGATTCACAAGGAAGTTTCTGGTTCCTCAATCACACAAGTTCAGAATTCACTTCAGTGCAAGGGCCTGGTGTGACTTGATAAACACCCCAATCACTGTGGGTGCTCTGAAATGGGAAGCTCAGACTCACACTGCACATTGCCAGTCCCATGCAACCTCAGGGGCTCCTAAAGGTCCAGCAAAGTTCCCAGTGGCCAAAGTAAAGCTATGTGAGCTTGTCTGGTCAGTAGTGGGTGCTTTTTTCTGAGGAACAGCAGAGACTGATAGACTGGATGGGTTTCACCTCAGCYTAACAAGCRYTGCTGGAAG